CTCTTCGTCAAATCTTGATACAACTATCGGTACAAGTCTAAAGAAAAGCAAGTCTTATGTAACGTAGTAACGTCAAATCAGTTCRCTCCCCTCTCCGTGGTTGACAATCTCCTCGAGGATTTTAGTCCCCCTCCTGTCACAATCTCACCTTCGGCTCAACATGAACCTAGTACGTCACCATCAAAACATCCAGATGATGGAAAAGTTGAGGTACGAGCATGCCAGCACCGCCAATTGTTATAAGTAATGTTACTAACTATACTCCTCGTTGAAAGCAGATTTTATATCTCTGGTGGCTACCGTCAAGGGTTCCTCTCTAATTATCAAACATCGTAATTTTGATGGTTACAATAAGTCAATAAACTTGTCGATTACTGCAACGACTCAGATTTAGAACGCCATACGCGTGGGCACCCCGTCATATCCGCCCTTTCAAAGTGTTTATCCGCAATCTGCACCATACTATTCCTGTTGAAGATATAGAGAAGGCCCTCTGGGATTTGGGCTTCTTAATCGTAAGTGTGCTAAACGTCCGCCATCGAATTAACAAACAGGCTCTACCACTATTCACCGTTGTCCAAGAATAAGCAATGGATTTTAAACGAAGCATCTTTCAATTATCCTCCCTCCTTAACTCCAAAATAGTTTTCGAAAAACTACATTAATCCCGGTACCCTCCTCAATGCAGACAATATCAGCGATACGGTCACACTCACTCTTACTGTAGTGAATCACCAAGTTGTGTCAAATACGGCAACAACCATAACATCATAGACTGTGTCAAATCTTCGGAACTGCCGGCGAAGTGTGTGTTATTACCTATATTCTGGCGCACATATACCGCGGACTATGAMGGTTGTCCTTCATTAAAGAAATGTTTGAACACCTATCATAAGAATCATAAGAATGGTCACATCAACACCATGCCACCTGTACCACCATTAGTGCTCTCAAAGGTGGTCTTGCCAGTCACAGTGGAGCTCCAGTCCACGTACAATCGATACAAAGAAAAATCCAGGGCCAAGACATATGCAGAAGCAACTTCAAGCAACTCAAACAATTCTAATAATGAATCTATATCAAATATTTTATCTCAATTTGTTACACAATTAAATTCCCTCATTACTCCATTAATTTCACTTTTATCTACACTCTCRTAACTATCTAAGAATACCGCCTCTCCTTAATTATATCTTATTCGAATCCAAAACCATAATCATTATTTTGCACATACCTTTTTGYATACGTGTTGTTTAATCATCAYCAATTTCTATTGCCTCTATGTTATTTTAATTTTTAATTGGTTTATGTAATCACTATCTGTAGACTGTAATTGTTGAACTGAAAAATAACATTTTTTAGACTAGAAAAATATTTATATTAAAAGGCGGCAATTTGTTTAGTGCTTAAGAGGATGTGATACCCGCATATGTTTTCTCAGTCTTACAATTTTACAAGTGCGTAACATTGCAAATACTGTTTAGCGCGGAATAGAACCATAATGGTTCTATACTAGCTAATCTGCTACTCTGTAACTAAAAATTGTTAACWATTATTTAATACAATTTATAATATATAAATTATAAATTTATAGTTGGAATATATTTATAATTAGAGTTTAGACACATGCATGGATTTTCATGAAATTTGGTACCTGTATGTATGTTTTATGAAGGTAAAGAAATTAGGAATAAAATATTTAGCATGTGCTTGTGTGCGCAGCTTGTTATTTATTTTAAGCTACTTATTTGTGCTAGTCAAAACTTTTGCCCCTTCCATTAAAAACAGAAATTACGTGTTACGTCACTGCTGTATATACATCATAAATCATGATATACTTATTACTTATTAGTGTATAGCTATATTTTTATAGAAACATTCTTGAGTCTGTGTACATTTTATAAATTGTTATTACATATTTAATATTACTTTATTATTGATCATTAAATATATATTTTTCATATAAATTTTTTTTTGTTGATTGTCATTTTGAGAGGCAACATTTTACCTGTACGTTCCAAATCGTCTTTTAGTATTTAATTAGAAACTTACTTTGTAAAATAATTTAACTAAAATTCGATTTGAATTGATAATTTACTTTTAAACAACAACATTTTAATCAGTATAAGATATAAAGTACACTATAGTTATAACTAAAAATAATAATTTCATCAATTTATATATTTAAACAAAATAATTATTATAACTTAAATTAATAGTTAAACTTATGAAATACATTGATTTGTAAAATTCTATAACCGGGTCGGTGTTTTAAATTGACCCAAAAGCTTTTTATCTGGTGGTTTAGTGTGAACAATATTTAATGGTGGTGTTTTCCCAAAAGCATTAAGTATTTTTATTCGTTTTTGAGCTGGAGAACATTCAGATTGAGATGTACTAGAAGTTCTAACCACAGAGACGGGTAGTTCACCATAAGACTTATGCAATGCATTTCTTGATTTGTTTAAACAATTCTCACTATTGATTGTCGTTGTTTCAACTAGTCTATTACAAATTTCACTAAGTTTAGTTTGGCAGCATTTTAGAAAATTTTGATTCTGAAAATTACATTTTTTAAATTAATACAAATTATTTTAAACTCAATATTAATCCATATTATCCACAATTTATAAATTCAAAGTGTAAAGAAAGTTTATGTTGTTCATGATAAATACTATTTTTCAATTTTATTTAATCACTTATTATTTTTATTTTTGATAAGATACAGGCCTAGGCCCAAAACAAAAAGTAATATATATTAGTAATATACAACAAATTAAAATGAGTGAATAACAAATATAAAAATGAAATTAACAACTAATAGTGTTTGAAATAATATTAGCAAAGACCCAGTTGAATAAAATTTTTAAGAATAATTTAAGGTRGGGTCTTCATTAGCAATCCACATAAGACGGTTTATAGGGGAGTTAATTAAGTAATTAGAAGAAGAAAATGGAATTAAAAATGAAGGAGTATATCTAGTTGGACRTGGTGGAACTTTRAAAGTTACTTGAGAGAGTAGGGCAGGGTAGTCAATAACATCAGATAAAAGCTTTTTTTTAAATRTTATATTAGCACTATGACTATGATTAGTAAGACTAGATAAACTTAAAGCAATACGGATAGGTTYGTAATCATGAGGAGAACAGGGTATTTTTAATGAAAAAGCAGCAAATGATAGAAATTTCCATAGGACCCTTTCTATCATTAAAGAGTCTATAGATAATTGAGGGTCCCCCAAATAACCAATCCATACTCTAAAATAGGTCAGACTAAGGAGCAGAAGAGAATCTTTAATGATTGGTCCAATTTGAATTCAAAGGAGATGCAGCCTCAAGAATATTTATCATGGGTACGCCAAAGACATTTTTCAGTGTCATTATAAATTTGTATTTGTATATATACTATTGAATTTGAAAAAAAATTAAAAATACAAAAAAAAATGTTAAAATTATGTTTATTGCATAAAAAAAATTGCAATTATTCCCACTACGCCACAGCATATTTCAAGATCATTGTAGCGCCACGGAAAAGTTAATAATATAAATCCAAATTAATTTACGGCAGCCCACGGCTGTATGACCTCCTACGAATGGTATGGTGCAGCAGCCGGCGGTCTAAAAATTATCAATACCTAATTATTATTATATGGACGCCGGCGGTTGCATGGCAGTCAATGTGTTAATAAATCCCAATATTTTCAGAGATTTACAGCATATCTCTTGTATATGAACCCTAGGAGATAAATTTGGGAGGAAATAAAAACCTAGGTCGTGTATGGAAAATTTATTTGAGATTGGAATGTTACGAATAGTGTAATCGATAGTAATGGGAGAGGATGTATGAAAATAAGACATTTTGAAGCATTTAGAAATATTGAGTGACAGACCTAAAGATTCRCTCTAAAGTACTAAACGGTTGAGGTCAGRTTGAAGAAGACTAGCATCATTTTCATTATGAATACGCATAAAGAGTTTCATGTCATCGGCAAATATAAGTAGGCGTGCGTGACGTAAGACAGATGCTGCACTATTTACCAGTAATAACGGTGAAAGAATAGCACCCTGAGGTACACCAGATGTAGGAGTAATGTTGTAGGAAGTACTATCATGTAATTTAACATATTGTATACGATTTGACAAATAGGAAGAAAACCAAGAAAGAATTGGTTCTCCGAAACCATAGTTAGATAAGATCTTAATAAGGATATTATGATTAACTTGATCAAAGGTCTTAGTAAAATCAGTATATATAGTATCAACTTGAGCATGCTGTGCAAACGAATCAAAAATAAATGAACTGATTTATTAAAAAATGTATTATTAAAAATAGTCATAAAATTCAGTTGTTCAATAGTTTTTTAACAGCTTTTATGCCRTTTAAGAATCAAAGACATACATATAAAATAAACAGAGTTCATACAATTTAGCTTATAAAATATAATTTGATTTAAGTATTTTTTTAAATGTTGAAACATTTAATTAAAATTAAATATTGATAAAGTAGACAAAAGCAAGAATCCTAATCACAAATTTAATATTCTATCATTAGATTACTCGTTAGGTACATGAATTACTATTTACAATTTCTATGCATAAAATTCATATAATTATTTATAAAGGTGCCCATTCGAAATTTTGCCAGACACCCATGTGTTCCAACCAAAAATTACCTCTTCCACAGTTCCACAGGCTTGCTTCGATGCCTCAACCCCAATTTAAAAAAAAAAATTATTTATAAGTACTATCATGATAACTTCTGCATAAAGTAATTTAAATATTATATTTATATAAGGATTTCTAAATAATTATAATACATATTGTAGTATTGATTGTATATATAATGAATAAAGAATATTGTTAAAAGAATGATTGCTGCTTAGATTAGTCAAAATATGTATTAGTTTGTTTTGCATAGCAAAATATAAATGATATGGTTAATTAGTTTGACAAAACTAGCAACAACAAAATAATAAAACATTTCTATTTAAAATAGGTAGTAATAACAATTAATTAAGTAAAAAAAAGTTATTATTTAAAAAAAWTTTTATATTATAGAAAGAAAATTTAAAATTGATAGAAATTTGTATGCTAAACAATTTAAACATAGATACTTAGGTATATAATTATTACATATTGAAAAATTATATTTYCTTAATCCACTTACTTCTGGCTTTTTCATGAACATTTTATAATCATTAAAGATATTTAAAATATATTCAGCTTTAGGAATTGTTGAAAATAAAGACTGTTCTGTATTATACAACTTAGGTATAGGAGATATTTGATCAAATCCTTTAAATTGAATATTAATTCCAGATATTATACTGCCCGGGTACATCATGTCATCATATCCATATTCCTAAACAATAATAAAATATATTCTAAATTATAAACATTATTTTTAGTTTTGATAAGCTACCTTAATATTGCCTCGAAACAAAATACTGATTATATTCATTTCTTTGTCTGATACATAGATTTCATCATAAGCATTATTTTTATTCACATCTGATACTACAATGCCGACTAAATCTAATTCACCAAATAATGGTAAAAATGTACCAGACCAAATACTTTTAAAGCTWACTACATCACGTTTGATGTAATCATTTTTATATCCTTGAAAATCAAAACGAGTATTTTTGTTGGCTGATAATTGTAGTTCACCATTCCTAAAAAAAGTATTATTAAAATAATTTAAGTTAAATCTATAAAATTATGATTTATTTAGAAATTTTAAGTTGTTATACATAAATCCATTTGTAGAGATATTATGAAATGTACAACATTGACCTTCGGTTGATTTGTTCAGGATTTCAGTAACATCTTCTGATGGATTCCAAATTACAAGTAAAGCAGCTTTAAAACCAGTAGAGATATTTTTTTTATCAACTACGCGTAACTATAATATTAAAAACATAATTATGTAAATATTAAATGATCAAGATTTCTATGACTAACAATTGAGCATTCAAAATAAAATGTTAACAAAAACTGATGAAAAAAATCATTCATTGAAAATACAATTAAATGAAATTATGGTATATTTTGGAAAAGGGAAAGTTACAATTTAAAATATCATTCAGACTAAAATTTACAAAATATATATGATACATTGAATTTTAAAGGTTAACTTCCTAAAAGTGTCTAATATCAAAATATAATGAAGGAAAACAGTCAAGATTCTATTTCAAGCGATATACCCCTTTAAATTGCTGGCATACGGTATATCAAATAAAATTAAAACAAATGTTTTTTAATTTCATAATTTATAGGCCTGTCATTCAGGAGTAAAAAATTATGTTTATTTTAGGTATACCTCAAAGTAATGTATTCAAGGATGAAGGAATGCATATCCTGAATATACAGTATACAGGACACCACAGTCGCATACATTGTCGCTGTGTTACAAACACATAATTTAATAAAATTTACATTATTATATCATAAAATTTTTAATTTTAAATAAGAATATTATACCGTGAATCTTATAAGATTTTTAAAATTATATTTTCATTTTAAACAGAATTATGATCATTTAAAAATAAATAATATTTTAAAAATTTTAAATCAATATAAAATAACACATTTTTTCTAGGATAAATAAAAATGAAAAATGTATACAGGATATATAGCTAATAAGTAATAAATACATTTCTTGTGTGAAAATTTGGGTTGAATATTAGATATAACATATATCATGGGATCAAA